CTCAGTTATGTCCTTCCTTATGAGGCAATGATTGTGGAAGGTGACCTTTCATTTCCTTTTTCTTTTTTTTCTGAGACAGGGTTTCTCTGTGTGGGCCTTGCTGGAACTCACTTGGTAGATCAACATGGTCTTGAACTCAGAGATCTACCTGCCTCTACCTCTCAAGTACAGGAATTAAAAGGCATGAGCCACTACCACCTGAACCTTTCTTTTTCATTCCACTGGCCATTTGTACAATAGGAAGTAGACATGCTAGCCAGGAATAAATGTGCTGCATTAACCCATTTAGGAAAAAAAAGGACTACTTAAAAACATGTTGTTCTATGAGGAGGTGCTTTCTCACCAGATAATCCCCATTTAATTGTTAAAACTCTATCAAATTATTTTATTACAAGGTTAATATCTGAATTATATTCTTATATGTAAAATAAAGAATGCTATCTATCTATCTATCTATCTATCTATCTATCTATCTATCTATCTAATAGAAAGTAGTTTAAAGGGGTTTAAAGTTCCAGAGGGTTAGAGTCCATGACCATCATGGCAGGGAACATGGCAACAGGCAGGCAGGAGTGGCACTGAGTACAAGCTGAGAGCTTACATCTGATCCACAAGCAACAGGCAGAGTGAGTGAGAGATGGAATGGCATGAGGGTTTTAAAACTTCAAAGACTGCTTTCCAGCCACACACTACCTCCAAAAAGGACAGACCTCCTAACCCTTCCCAAACAGTTATATCACTTGGTAAATAATATTAAAACATGAGTTGATGGAGGCCATTCTCATTCAAACCAGCACATTTTATTCCCTGCCCCCCCATAGGCCTGTGACCATATCTTAATGCAAAATGCATTTACACCAACTTTGAAAGTCCCTATATTCATTCAGTTTCAACAGTGAAGTCCAAAGTTGAAAATCTGTTTTGAGACTCAAGGCAATATCAACTGTAACCCCATTTAAAATCAAAGAGCAAATTAAACACTTCCAGCACACAATGGCACAGAATATACATTACTATTTAAAAGGGAGGAAAAAGCAAGAAAATACTGGATCAAAGCAAGGTTGAAAACCAGCAGAGAAAACAAATCCTGTAACTCCATGCTGGAGATGAAAGGGCTTGGATGGAGCTATGTTCCCAGCTTTGATGACTGCAACACACAACTCCCTTGTGCAGACTCCATTCCCTGTGTGCAGTACACTTTGGCAAATAGCCCTCAGCTCTGGCATCTCCAACATCTTTGGTGCTCCAAACCAATCCAAGGTCCATGGTCATGGTTTCACAAAATGGTCCCTCAGGGCCTCAATGCAGGGACTCCCTTGCCACATGACAGGGCTCAGTGGCTATCCTTAAAAATGGAGGAAGATTCCACAACTCCTTTACCTGTCTATTCTTCATAACTCCAAAGCTAGAACCAGGTTGCCAGTGCTGTCAACTTCTGCTCCCTGCTTGGGAAGAACCAACCTGGACCCCTTCAATCACATTGCATAAGCTTTGTTTTGTTCTTGCTTTCTAGGAACAGATAATTCCTTAGGCTTTTTCATTTCACAGGTTGCAGGATTAACTGGATGGAAACTGACCCTGAGGGAGACCCTGAACACAACACTATTTCATTTCTCCTCATCTCTTTCAGCAAAGGACTTAACTCTTAACATTCAAATTCCTGATGCAGGTAGAGGCCATTCCAGTGAGAACAGGTAAGAGCTCAACCTTCACTCATAACCTTCCCATGCCCTTGGTTCAGACCCATCCCACAGACATCCCTTTCTTTGCCTCTCTGCCAGTCCCCATCACTGTACCCCTATCATCACTTCAGGCAGATACCTGCTACTCAGGTACAGGGCATACCAGTCAGAATAGGTAAGACCCTGCCCTTGGAATACTCTCACACCCACGGTTCAGAGCTGAAAGACCCAACCCCCACCTACTGCCTTTCCACTCCTGCTGCCGTGCTCCCACACTGGAGATCTGCTGCTCAGGTGCAGGGCACACCATTCAGGAGAATAGAGATCCCCTGGTGGTTCAAAGCCCATGTTAGCTATCAGAAGTCCAGCCTGCTGACACTGATGGAGACTCCCTGTTGGATCAGGGGTCAGGGTGGCTGTCAGTGATATAGACCACAGGGACCAGAAGACCAAAGAAGAAACAAAAACTAAGGAACAAAACACCCATCCAAAAATTCAGCACAGAAATTGGTACCTAGACCTATATCCATCTCAAACCTAGATATCTATATGCCAGGGCAATATGGCACTACCAGAGCCCAGCTATCCTAATACAGCAACCCTGGAATAGTCCCATATAGCTGAAACACATGAACTTAAAGCCAACTTTAAAAATATGGTAGTGGTCCTTAAAGAGGAAATGAATAAATCTCTTAAAGAAATCCAGGAAAACATGAAGAAGCCATGGAGAGAAATGAGTAGATGCCTTAAAGAGAGCCACGAAAAAACCCAAACAGATGAAGGAAATGAATAAAACACTGAAACATCAAATATAACCAATAAAGAGAACACAAACTGAGGGAATCCCAGAGATGGAAAACCTAGGTATGTGAACAGGAACTACAGACGCAAGCATTACCTACAGAATACAAGAGATGAGAATCTTAGGCGTAGAAGATATGATAGAAAGAAATTGATACATTGATCAAAGAAAATGTTAACTCTAAAATGTTCCTGGCGCAAAACATTCAGGCAATCTGGGGCACTATGGAAAGACCAAACCTAAGTATAATAGGAATAGAAGAAGTAGGTTCCAACTCAAAGGGAAAGAAAATATTTTCAAAGAAAAATATCATAGGGGAAAAATTTCCTAATCTAAAGGAGATGCCTATAAAAGTACAAGTTTACAGAACAAATAGATTGAGCCAGAAAAGAAAGTACCCCATATATATAATTATCAAAACACTAAGCACACAGAACAAAGAATATTAAAATCTGGAAGAAAAAGGAGGCCAAGTAACATAGAAAGGCAGACCTATTAGAATAACACCTGAATTCTCAACATGGACTCTAAAAGCCAGAAGGGTCTGGACAGATGTCTTGTAGACTCTAAGGGACCACAGAATAGATATCATGGATAGATTGAGTATAAATGGGGTTGGGGATTGGATCAGGGAAGGGTACTGGGACAGACAACAGAATTAGGGGGAATTTAGGAGTTGAGGTAGAAATCTAGTGCAGTGGATACTCCCAGGAATCGAAAGAGGGTGACCCTAGCTAAGACTCCTAGCAATGAGGGATACGGAACCTGATCCAGCATCTCCTATAACCAGACAAGTCTTCCAGTGCAGGGACTGGGACACCAACTAACCACAAAACCTTTAATCTACAATTTGTCCTGTCTACAAGATGTGCTGGGGTAAAGGTGGTGTAGAAATTCTGGGTGTGGCCAACCAATGACTGTGATCCATAGCCAAACATTAGGTGCAACTTGGAGCATCTGCAGAAGAGGAGGAGGAAGGATTGTAGGAGCCAGAGAGGTCAAGGACACCAAAAGAAAATCCACAGAATTAACTAGCCTGGGCCATAGGGGCTCCCAGAGACTGAACTGCTCACCAGGGAGGCTGCATGGGACTGACCTAGGCCCTTCACACAAGTTACAGTTGTGTAGCTTGGTCTTCTTGTGGGACTCCGAACAGTGGGGATGGGGGGCTATCTTTTACTCTCTTTCCTGATTTTGACACCATTTTCCTCTTACTGAGTTACCTCATCCAGCCTTAATATGAGGGGAGGTATCCTAGTCTTATTACAACTTGATATTTGGTTACTATCCCTGAGAGGCCTGCCATTTTCTGAAGGGAAACAGAGCAGGAGTGGATTAAGGAGCAAGCTACGGTGGGAGGGACTGAGAAGAGAGGAGGGAGGAGAAATTGTAGTGGTGATATAAGAGAGAAGAATAAACAAATAATTTCCAGGTGCTCCTTTTTCTTCAAACTATACATGTTGTGGTTTTTTCTCGCCCCTTTTGTTCTTTTTCACTGTAGACCTGCACAAGAGTTAGCATTAATAACCACATCACTACCAGATGTCTTGGAATTTCCTCTACCAAAGAAACAAGTCCAAAGCTCTTCAGTTCAGTCTCAGGCAGAATCTCAGGACAAGGGCCGATAATTGCAGCCACATTCCTTGCTAAAATAGCACAAGAATGATCTCTAGCCCAGTTGTGAATGTTGCATCCCCCTGAAAACTCTTGAGCTGGGGCTCCAGAGTCCACAGTGTTCTTAGCAAGAGTGTCTTCTGAGAGCTTCAGAGGATGGTCCATGAAGGCCTAATTACAGTGTTTAACCTCTTTCCTAGTCTAAATTTCCAAAGTCTTCCCATTGTTCCCCAAACCATCATGGCCAGAACTGTCACAGCAATACCACTACTTCCTGATACTATCTTTGTCTTAGTTACTAGGGAGAGATACCATGACTAAGGCAACTTACAGAAGACAGAAAGTTTTTAATGGGTTTACAGTTCCAGAAATTGAGTCCTTGACCATCATGGTGGGTAGCATGGCAGCAGGCAGGCAGGCATGATCCTGAGAGCAGTAGCTAAGTGGCTAAGAGCTTCCATCTGACCCACAGACATGATGCAGAGAGAGAAATGTGCTTTAAAAAGGGACAAAAACCCCTCTAATCATTTTATTTGTCCAACTACATGACATGAAAATCCTTTAAAAAGGCACATAACCTGACTTCCACACATTTCCCCATTTGCTGATTTTAGGGCTGCTGCCCCAGGACCCAGGCACATGGACCTAGCCCATGTGTTTGCCCACTCTCCACCAATGCAAAGAAAGCTATATCCGATGGCAGAGACTCATGTGACAGTCCTGATGCTCAGTGCCATTTGCCATGGTCACTCTTACACCTAGAGCCCTTTTCTCTGGGGGGGTGTAAGCCTGGGGTGCTAGAGCAGAGGGAGGGTATGTGCCCTTCACAATGGGCATTCTGTCATGGAATGAGGTGAGAGCTGACCTATGACATAACTGTCACATCAGGTCTGGCCAAGCTCAGTCACTAACTGCCATTAGTAAAGCAAGGGCTCTGCAGGGTCTGGGAAGATGAGAAGGAAGCGGCCAAGGATCTTGGGAAGTCTTCGCAATCCTGTTCCCCCTCAGGCTTCTTCTTTACCTTCTGACCAACCAAACAACATTCATTTCTTCCCATCTCAGTCCGCTGCGCCTCGGCCTGCCATTCGTACCAACCCTCTTTCTGTTTTCTACTCTACCTCTTTCCCTGCCCTGAAGAACACTTCCTACTTCCCCACCTTAATGATTGCTATGCCCAGCTCCTCCTGTGTAAACAAACTTTCCTCTAAGAGTCCGGCTTATTTCACTAACCCTTCCTACCTGTCTACCCTCATGACTACCTCTTCTACAAGAGCACCGCTGGATAGTTTCCCTCTTTCCCATCCGGAAACTAGCTACTTTCAGCCAGACTGGGTAAGTCAAAAGCCTCAAACAAGAAATCTTTGCAGATGGTTCACTACAGAAACGCCAAGGCTGTTTTCCTAGCAGCCCACTTGGTAAACACAGCGGAAGCAGGATGATGGGGCAGCTGATAGCCTGGATCCCATCTCCCCTGATTTCTCACTGAATCTGGCTGCAAATGAGAAACAGCTTCGAGGTTTTAGGAGCCCTGAGAAACTGCTTCCACAATCATCAGAGAGCCTTTTCTGAATGTCTTTCAGCGTATCCTTCAGGAACTGAGAAAGAATTCTCTAGACCCAGAGCTTTCAATTGGAGGCAACAGATCGGACCTCACATCCTTGGTAAGTGGTGCCTAGCACCAGGAAGCTCAATAGCACTACAGGTGAGAGTTAAGTGGACCAGGAGGCAGCTTGGCCTGAGTCAGGATTCCGGCTTCAGCTTAGGAGTAGCCTCACTTGTGGGTCTATTCTTAAGCCATTTTATGACTCAGTTTCCTTGGGATGAAAGTGAGATGCTGTGGAGTATGTCCTTTGCACAGTGGTCAGGAAGGTCGTGACAAGTGCTAGCAATTGTGGGAGGACATCAGTAGATGCTTAGAATACATCACAAGAGAGAAAAGGAAAAGACAGGGAACGGAGGAGTCAGTATTCAATTAGAGCACATCACTCACCACACACACACACACACACACACACACACACACACACACAGAGTCTCTCCCTCTCCCGTTCCCTCCTTCCCTCCCCCCTCTCTCTAGAGAAAAGCACTATTGTCTTGTGAGTTAATTATACAACAACGTTCAAGTAAAATGGACATTTTGTAGTTACAATGTATTGTGTTGTCTCAAGAGGAGTATAATGTTATGTGAGGGTATATCTGGATAATAAATTCAGAGCAATCAGCAAAAAGTTTACCATGGAGTCATAATTGGTAGGAAAGAAAAATGCTTCATATGAAACACATGTAAACCTGAGAAACAACCTGTGTTGAGAAGACAGTAACACATCACAGAAAAAAACAACAGTAAACAGCACCAGATAAGACACATGACGATCCAAAGATTATACAGCATATTTAAATTCAACAGCTATATGACCCAAATGGTCTCTGGGAACACAAAAAATTATAAGACCTACTTATTTGTTGTCTTTGAGAAAACTGGTTTGAATAAAGATGCATGATGCATTTATGTTTAAAATAAAAGGCTGGTGTGTCTTCTGAGGAGACTGCTCTCCTGTCCAGGTCTGTGGATTCTTCCTGCTTGATAAGAAACAAGCATGTCTTCTATACTTGACACATGTCACAAGTGCTGTACATGCTATGAGAGGCCTTTGGAAGATGTGTTCATGAGGCACTGACTCTTTTCCTAGCTCCTGTTTTAGGGAAGCTCCCCCAGCTCCCAACAAGTTGCTTCTGTTCTGTGTCTTGGCCCTGCTGTCTGAAGGGAGATGCCCATGATATCACACAAACATGCTGATGTTACAACTCCATTACTTTTATTTGCCACCTCCCCTGATCACTCTTAGACTTGACACGGGGACCCCTTGCCTTGTTGGTGAAGTTGATACATTGGACTAAGAGGCTGGTAGCAGTGTTTTAGTGTCTGTTAATCACAAGGGACATGAAGCACCTGGGAAATGACTGCCACAGCAGGTCTTACACAGGCAAAAGTCCCTCTCTGTTTTTATTGAAGAGAAAGGTTTGGAATGTCTTCTGAAAAGACGGCAAAATGGCTTCCCACCATTTTCCTTATGAAACCTAATTTCCCACTCCCATTCTTTCTCCCTGTGCTCGTTCTACTCCTGTTAGCCCCATCCTGTTGGCTCTAGCCTTCAGCCTGTTCCCCAGCCCAATCTGTCCTTTCTGTTCTCTGTCCTTCCTCCTCCCCTGATCCACACTTTCCCCCATTATCCTACCTCATCTCTATTTCTGGCTCTTCCTCTTTTCCAGACTTTTCTCTGAGCACCCTGTTCACCTTGTCCCCTTCACTGTTGGACCCAACTTCTTCTAGCATTTCAGTTCAATAGTTCTCTACTCTCTTATCCCCAGTGCAAAGCCAGCTGTGCTCTGTCAGTCCTGATGCATTGATCTTCCTCCATGGGAGGGGTCATTTGCCACACCTGCAGTTTGGCAGTGCCAGGACTGTGCTTCCCAAACAGACTGACCTGGTGTCTGTGGGAATAAGGGTGACATAGCCAGGATGCTCCTTGAGCAACATTGTATTCATTTCCTCATTGGCCTCTTCTCTCTATGTGGACACACCTGAAAAACATCCCAGATGGTATGAGTGGAACTAGTGCCCTAAAATTTTTACAGCTGTCAGGTTAATGACCTAGCTTTTCCCTGATATATTGACAGACCTAGAACTGGTCATGAATCTCATTGACTGTTTTCCTCAGGTACCAGAGAAGCTACAGCCAGAGACAAATACTGGAAATCATGAAGTGGAAGAGGCTCAACCCCTGGATAGCCTTGATGCCTTCACTCAGGAAGCACTGGTAAGCACAATCACAATGGAAGTGCTACCTAAAAAGACAGGATAGGAGAGGATCCAGTCTTGTTGGGCTGTGAATGTGGACTCAGTTCCCCACTTGTTTGTCTTTGTCTGGAAAGCTCAGCAATCCAGTCATAACTGGAGACTTGATGGTATTCCAGATCTGGTTAGGAGGGGCAAATAAGTGACCTTGGTGATTACTCTTGAGGGTGCCTGTCACACTGAAAGGCCTCAAGAAATGTAGGCTTGTGCTTGTGGATCTAGGTCTGCATGATTAACATTGGTTTATATAGAGATGTGTTTGGAAGTGCAAATAATAATCAGATCTGTTTGAAAACTATCTCAGGACAGAATGAGTTGTCATTTGTCAAGAACACAAGATTTACCAAATAACCGTTTCGAGGTGGAGAACGAAGAGGGTAAGATAAAACCTCACCCCATTTGCATGTCAGGAAACTCAGACCCTCACACTACTTTCTCTCTCACAGATACTAACCTGATGTGCACAGGCAGAGGCTGACCTGTGGAAGGGCTGCCATTTGGATCTGACAGGACATTCCATAGCAAGTTCATCAAGACAGCGTGGGTGTGGTTCTTCTGGCCAGGAACACAGCTCAGCTACTTGTGCTGCACATTTGAGATCAGAGGCTGTGCTTGTCCAAGCTACCTACCTATGGCCAACAAATTCCACATCCTTGTTTATCATTGTAAACCTGGGGACAATGCCTCTAGTTAGCACTGTCAGGAAACAGTACTCCTATAAACATTAGCTCCAGGAGCTGGAGACCTTTAAGAAGTAATCTAGAATTCCAGAGTGATATGACTGTGACCAGCAGAGACTTGATTGTCCCCCATGTGGGATTCTTTGCCCTGGGAGGACCTTAGGCTCTTCAGTATAGGAAAAGAGAAAGTCACACACAATGGGAAGCTTTGCCTCATGTCAACTTCCAACATTTGAAGGATATTTGTCATTTACATTAATTACACAATATAGACTCTCTAGAGCTTGTCTATGAGGCTTGTTTTTCTTTAATTTAATTCTTGGTGAGACTTCAATAGACTCATTATTTAATATCTATTAAGATCACATCTGTCCCATATGCAGGATATTTTCCTTGGACCTAGTAATCCAGGCAAGCATAGCGATTAGCTCAGTGGCCTGAGGCTCTACTTGGTTTAGAGTGTGCACACAGCCCTCTCTAATAATACACTTGGCTCCCGAGACCCTTACCAGCATGTACTGTGTGGGAAGATTCCATTTGGACCCAGTGGAGTAAGTTCCTCCTCTCCTTAAAGACCATCAAAACTGAACAGTTCCAGTCATACACAATCCTGTTACACATTCCTTCAAAGGTAGGAGGGATAATCTAGCTTGTACTCATTTTCAGTCTATGCATAGTAAGGCAAAACTTTAATCTCAAGTGAAATTTTAGGGACAGTCCCTGTTCTAGTTTCATTTCTTTTGCTATGATGAAATACCCTCAAAGAAAGCAACTGAAGGGAGATAAGGTTTATTTGACTTAACGATCCAGGTCAAAATTCCATCATTATGGAAAGCCAGAGCAGAAACTTGAAGCATCCATTCACAACCAACATCATACAGTCAAGAGCAGACAGGATGTATACCTGCATGCTTGTCTCTTATTCAGGTCAGGATCTAAACCCAGGGAAGGATATGGTACCACCTATTGTTATGATGACTCTTCACACACAAAATTAGTATAATCAAGACAATTAATTCCCTACATAATTGGCACCAGACAAAGCTAATCTACGTACTCCCTTGAGTGATTTTAGGTTGTATGGTTGACTATTAAAACTAACCATCACTCCTATCAACTTGACACATAAACTTTAAACCATAACCTTCTACCTCTCATCTTTAGCTCTCCTGTTATAATTCTATCAAATACAGTCCAAATTTAAAAGCCCCTGAGTCTTTAAATTTTCAATTATTTAAAAAGTCAAAAGTCTATCAACTGTGAGCTCCTTTAAAATAAAAGTCAAGGTTCCTACTTCCAGCATATACAATGGCACAGACTAAAAATTCCTACTTCAACATGGACGAATCGGGGCATCACAAGGAACAATCAGATCAAAATGAAACCAAAATCATCAGGACCAACACCAAGTCCTCAAAACTGACATCCACAAGCTGAGGCTCTTAATGTGGTCTTCTGGGTCCCACCCTCCAGCTCTGCTACCTGCAGCACACATAGTATCTCTTCTACACTTAGGCTCACTCTGTATTTCTAGCTTTCTGTAGCCTATGTCCTATGGTCCTGGTTCATGGATTAAAAAAATGTGATTAACTCAAAGTCACTGATAATGCATTGCTGTAGCGTTAAGGGAGGAAAGAAAAGCACTTCCTCTCCCTTGGAGTCATTTAACCAAAAACAAACCCAGATTTGAATTTTCTACTTCATACCCTGTGTCTTCTGACTTCTGTCTGCTGTAATCCGTGCCTGCCTGAAGACTATCTTGCGAATCTGTTCTTGTCTCTGTTGCTGTATGTCTGTGTACATCAGTCTGTCCTATGACTGTGTGTCTGTTCTTAAAGGGTTTCCCTCTGTATTGATTGAACAGTGTAGAAAGCATCACATGGGGGAAGGAATAGGATACTTTACAGAAATCTTTAACAGAGTTTTAATGTGATTAGGTCACTGGCTTCAACTGATCCCAACTGACCCAGATAATGAACACCACTGTTTATTAATCAATATCCATAAATGATATCTTTCAACCTTTTAGATAGATTTTAGAGGATTTCTTTCAACCTCTGTGTTTGCTGTTTTAAGCAAAGGATACACATGCATTGTCCTGGGTCAGATCACAGAAGAATTAAGTTTGTAGCTATGTCTTAGCTTAGGTTGTAAAAGTTGATCACATGGGACATCTCAGGCAAGTAAAGCTGATTGTTACGTTGTTCTCTTAAAGGCAGGTTAAACGAACAGGCTGAGTGAGTGCACAATAGGATAGCAGTCTTAAATGGCGTCAACAAGTACTATTAACTGTGGGTGTGAAGTCTAGCAAAATCTCTTTTAGAATTTAAGAGATTATTTTTATCAGAATGCATTGCCACAGTCCTAGAATCACAAATATCCCAGGGGTTCCATTTCAATGGTGGTTTCACCTTCATAACACACTGGTCTTTCAGGGGCTCTCTGCAGGGACTCCAACATTACCACCACATAGTGTCTAGACTCAGCTGCCATCTTTGATGCCATCAGTCTTGCAACTTTACCATCAAAACTAGTAATAAAATGCTTACAATGCTGGCAAGCTATGTTGCTGGCTTCTGTGTGCCCACCCTGTGGAAACACTTTCCTACTGTTGCAAATGGAGCACAAAAGGTATCACTTCAGTGGAACCCAATTTCTTTAACAAATATAGCTACTTTGCCAAGGACCAGCCTCCTGTAGGAGAGGGGTTCTGAGAGAAGGGATGTTTGGGAGAGGCAAAACGAAAGGACTTGAAGTCATGGGTCCCAGCTGGTGGCCTCTGTTCTGCTTGAGACAGCTTTCCAGATTGCCTTTTCTCTGTTCTGCTCTTTCTGGAGAGCTCCAGACAGCTTCCTCTCTCTATTCTTCTCAAGAACCAAGTAGTTCTCTCTTGCTATTCTAAAAATTTCTCTAGATAGTTCATCTCTTGCAGATCATGAGTCCAGCCTTTTATTTTACGTATCAATCCACATATCAATCCAGTCATTTGCTCCAAGTTCCCTTTTGATTATCCCATGAGTCAGCATCCTGTGACCCTAACACCTTGATTCTTAGGAGAAAACAAACCACTTTTTTTTTTTTAACATTGCAAAAGAATTCAGAGATCTGTCTGCCTCTGTTTAAGCACAGATGATAAATAACCCAGCAGCGTGGGGCCCCACTCTGAAATTACCATTTTTACCATGCCTGATCCTTACCTTGCTCTGTCCTAGGTCCACCTTGAACTCAGGAATCTGTCTGCCCTTGTAAGCATAAACAACAGCAACAAAACAAAACAAAACAAAACCAAAAAAACCAAAAAAACCAAAAAACCAAAAAACCAAAAAACCAAAAAACCCAACCCAACCCAACCCAAACCAAACCAAAACAAAACTTAGCTGAGTTAGATCTCCTGTAATGACCATTTCCTAATTCTCTTTCTCTCCTTGCTTAGTATCTCTCTGACAAGCTGGCTCATAGTGCAGATGCTTTTGTTCTTCTAGGTCAATGAAGCCCTCATATAATCTTATTACATCCTTATATTTTGGATAGTTGATAAATTATATATTTTTGAACTCATGTTTTTAGAGTTCTTTTCCTTAAGGGCCTTCCTTCAGTCCTTATCTAGCGTTTACTGTTTTGCTGAGACATTAGCCACACCTTCACTATAGCAGCACATTCTGCCCCATGTTTGGGGGCCACTCTGTACCTGAACGAGCTGCTGCTCTGGTCTGCAGGTCAGTGTCTAGCAAGAGAGAGAGTGGGGATGGAAGGGCAAGAGACACGAAGAATGGAGACACAAGACAGAGAGTCTGTTCAAGTCCCCTTTATTGAAATGAAATCATGGGTATATATAAGCACAAGCAGGGGAATGCAGCTGAAGACACTTTACCACATGCACCTTGCAGCTGGGGGCATTAAACAACAAAACAAGATATGTGAGAAAAACAAAATGTTTATCAGAGTGTGCTCAGCTGTTGCTGGCTGTTGAAAACAAGTCTCTTGTCAGGGTATATGGCCTGAGATGGCTGCAAAGATGATAGCTGCTTTCTGCTAGGAGTCGGCTCCCAACACTTCACCTCCCAGACTTGTGCTGTCTCTGATTATCATGGAGTCAGTGAGGACATTCCATGAAGGAGGAATGTAAAAATATATACAGTATTATGTAGACAAACCTTATGCCCACAGCGGCCAGTGACACTAGTGGAGACACATGCTCTTGGCTCTGTCCCAGGGGCGAGAACTAGTCATTCTACCCCTACCAAGGCCATGCTGGACCTGACACCACTTCTCAGCCCAATTGGGATGCACTCCTGACAAGAACATTTCTCTTAATTCAACCTCATTTAGCTTCTCAAGACACAGGTAGTAAATAAGCCACTTTTTTTTTTTTTGCATAAAATATCAAACAAATGGCCCCTGTGCTAATACTCCATGAAGTCTTTGTTGGCTCTGAAATATGAGCTGGGCTTCCACTGTCCACATTTGTCAGAGTTCTTATGCTCCAAGCTCCCATAGGAATGGCCTGTTATGCCAATGCTCAGGATTCAGCAATTCCTCTAGCCTGAAGTTTGAATCTCTTCCACATTACTAGGAAAAACATGGTCAGGTTTATCACAGTAATGACTCTGTACATTGAGATTAATTTCTGCCCTAATTATAGTCTGTTTCTGTGATAAAATATCCCAACAAAAAGCAGCTGAGCAAGAAAGCATTTATCTGGCAAGTCAGTTATTTTCCATCACTGTAGGGAAGTCAAGACAGAACTTGGAAGCAAGTTAGTTAATACTATCCATAGCCCAGAGCAGAGAGGCCATTCACAGTGGCATGGGCAATCTCCCAGCAGCCATACCCCACAGGAGAGTTATTCTCCCTCCCTCCCTCCCTCCCTCCCTCCCTCCCTCCCT